ATGGTGGGTGACAGGTAGTGTGATGGTGGTGGTGACAGTGGTGATGGTGGTGGTGACAGTGGTGAGCGGATGGTGGGTGAGAATGGTAGTGGATGGTGGTGACAGTGGTGGTGGATGGTGGTGGTGATCGGTGATGGTGGTGGTGACAGTGGTAGTGGATGGTGGTGGCGACAGTGGTAGGATGGTTGGTGACGGTAGTGGTGACGGTTGGTGGCGATTGGTGGTGGATGGTGACGGTGGTACTGGTAGGAGTTGTAGCGGTGACGTGGCAGTGATGCGGTGGTGGATGCGTGGCGTGAGGCGTGGTGACAGGTAGGTGGATGGTGGTGGTGACGCAGTGGAGGTGGATAGTGGGTGATGGTGGTGACTGGCAGTGGATGGTGGTGGCGACAGTGGTAGTGATGGTGGTGGTGACAGTGCAGGTGGATGGTGGTGGCGGACAGTGGCAGGATGGTGGTGGTGACTGTGGTAGTGATGGTGGTGTTGCGGTAGCGTGATGGTGGTGGTGACGCAGTGTAACGGTGGTGGTGACAGCAGTGGATGGTGGTGGCGACAGTGGTGGTGGATTGGTGGTGGTGGAGGACAGTGGTAGCTGATGGTGGTGGTGACAGTGGATGGTGGCGAGTGGCGGGTAAGTGAATTGTGGTGGTGGACAGCGGTAGTGGATTGGTGGTGACGGCGGTAGGGTGACGGCAGGTAGTGGCAGGTGGATGGCATGCGACTAAGTGGCAGTGGACGGCGGTGGCGACAGCGGCAGTGGACGGCAGGTGGGACAGTGGTGAGGGTGGGATTGGTGGTGACGTGGCGGTAGTGGAGTGGTGGTGGTGACAGTGGTAGTGGATGGTGGTGGTGACAGGTAGTGATGGTGGTGACTGGTGATGGTATGGTGACAGTGGTAGTGGATGGTGGCGTTGAGTGGAGGATGGTGGTGACATGGTAGTGGATGGTGGTGGTGACAGTGGTAGTGGATGGTAGGTGACAGTGGTAGTGATGGCGGGTGTGTGGTGGGTAGTGACGGTGGTGGACAGTGGTGAGTGATGGTGGTGGTGACAGTGGCAGTGGATGGTGGTGGTGAGGGCAGTGGATGGTGGTGGGTGACAGGTGGTGTGACGGATGGTGGTGGAGATTGCGGTGGTGACGGCGGTGTTGGTGAGTGGATGGTGGTGGGGCGACAGTGGCAGTGATGGTGGTGGTGACTGTTGTGATGGTGGTGGTGAGGTGGCAGTGAGAGGTGGGTAGGGTGGTGGGTGACAGTGGTAGTGATGGTGGTGACAGTGGTAGTGGTGGTGGGGTGACAGTGGGATGGTGGTGGTGACAGTGGTAGTGATGGTGGTGGTGACTGGAGGTTGGGTAGTGATGGTGGTGGTGACTGGAGTGGATGGTGGTGGTGACAGTGGTGGTGGATGGTGGTGGTGACAGTGGTAGTGATGGTGGTGGTGATTGGTAGTGGATGGTGGTGGTGGACAGGTGGTAGTGATGGTGGTGGTGACAGTGGTGAGTGGATGTGGCGGTGACTGGTAGTGATGGTGGTGGTGACAGTGGTAGTGGATGGTGGTGGTGACATGGTGGCAGTGGATGGTGGTGGTGACTGGTAGTGGTGGTGGCGACATGGTGATGGTGGTGGGTGAAGTGGATGGTGGTGGTGGTGGACAGTGGTGTATGGTGGTGGTGATGGTAGTGGATGGTGGTGGTGCAGAGTGATGGGTGGTGACAGTGGTAGTGGATGGTGGTGATGCGGTAGTGGATGGTGGTGGTGACAGTGGTAGTGGGCGACAGTGGGTGGATGGGGGACGGTGGTAGTGATGGTGGTGGTGCAGGTGGATGGTGGGTGAGGGTAGTGTGCAGGTGGTAGTGATGGTGGTGGTGGCGAGGTGGGTGGTGGTGATGGCGGCAGTGTGATGGTGGCAGTGGAAGAGTGATGGTGGTGGTGACAGTGGTAGGTGGGGTGGGATGGTGGTGGTGACTGGTAGTGGATGGTGGTGGTGACAGTGGTAGTGGATGGTGGTGGTGACAGTGGTAGTGATGGTGGCGGTGACGTGGTAGTGGATGGTGGTGGTGACAGTGGTAGTGATGGTGGTGGTGACAGTGGTAGGTGTGGATGGTGGTGGTGATGGTAGTGGATGGTGGTGGTGACAGTGGTAGTGGATGGTGGTGGTGATGGTAGTGATGGTGGTGGGACAGTGGCAGGATGGTGGTGATTGGTAGTGGATGGCAGGTGAAGGTGGTAGTGATGGTGGTGGTGACTGGTGGTGGTGGTGGTGACAGTGGTAGTGTGGATGGTGGTGGTGACAGTGGTGTGGATGGTGGTGGTGACTGGTAGTGGATGGTGGTGGTGACTGTTGCGTGGATGGTGGTGGTGACTGCGGTAGTGGATGGTGGTGGTTGACAGTGGTAGTGATGGTGCAGGTGACAGTGGTAGGATGGTGGTGGTGACAGTGGTAGTGGATGGGTGGTGACAGTGGTAGTGGATGGTGGGGTGACAGTGGTAGGATGGTGGTGGCAGTGATTGCGGTGGTGAGTGGTAGTGATGGTGGTGGTGGCAGTGGGATGGTGGTGGTGAGCAGTGGATGGTGGGTGGGTGACAGTAGGATGGTGGTGACAGTGGTAGTATGGTGGTGGTGACAGTGGTAGTGGTTGGTGACAGTTGTAGTGGGTGGTGCGTGATGAGGTGGGACAGTGGTAGTGGATGGTGGTGGTGACAGTGGTGGTGGATGGTGGTGGGTAGTGATGGTGGTGGTGGTGCAGTGGTGTGGGTGGTGACAGTGGTAGTGGATGGTGGGTGGTGTGGTGAGGTGATGGTGGTGGTGGTAGTGATGGTGGTGGGTGACAGTGGTAGGTGGTGGGTGGTGGCAGGGTGATGGTGGTGGCATGGTAGTGGATAGGTGGTGATGGAGTGGATGGTGGTGGCGTGGTAGTGGATGGTGGTGGTGACGGTGGTGGTGGATGCGGTGGCAGACAGTGGAGTGTGCAGGTGGTGGTGGGGATGGTGGTTGACGGTGGTGGATGGTGCAGGTGATAGTGGTGACGGTGGTGGTGACAGTGGTGAGTGTGATGGTGGGTGAGATTGGTAGTGGATGGTGGTGACAGTGGTGGTGATGGTGGTGGTGATGGGTGATGGTGGTGGTGACAGTGGTAGTGGATGGTGGTGGTGACAGTGGTAGGTGGTTGGTGAGGTGATGGTGGGGTGATTGGTGGTAGGTGTGGTGGATGGTAGGTGGTGGTGACAGTGGTAGTGATGGTGGTGGTGACAGTTGTGATGGTGTGGTGACAGGTAGGTGGATGGTGTGGTGGTGATGGCAGTGGTTGGTGGTGACAGTGGGTGGTGGTGGTGACAGGAGTGGATGGTGGTGGTGACAGTGGTAGTGATGGTGGTGGTGACAGTGGAGGTGGATGGTGGTGGTGACAGTGGTAGGATGGTGGTGGTGATTGTGGTAGTGGATGGTGGTGTTTGCGGTAGTGGATGGTGGTGGTGACAGTGGTAGTGGTGGTGGTGACAGTAGTGGATGGTGGTGGTGACAGTAGAGGTGGTGGATTGGTGGATGGTGGTGACAGTGGTAGTGATGGTGGTGGTGACAGTGGATGAGGGGGGTGGTGGGTAGTGGATGGTGGTGGGACAGTGGTGGTGGATTGGTATGGTGACGGTGGAGGGTGACGTAGATTGTGGTAGGTGGTGGTGGGACTAGTGACAGTGTGATGGTGGTGGTGACAGTGGTAGTGATGGTAGGTGGGACAGTGGTGATGGTGGATGGTGGTGAGTGACGGGTGGTAGTGTGGTAGTGATGGTGGTGGTGACAGTGGTAGTGGATGGTGGTGGTGCGGTGGTGGATGGTGGTGGTGACTGGTTGGATGGTGGGTGACAGTGGTAGTGGATGGTGGTGGTGACATTGGTAGTGGATGGTGGTGACTGGTAGTGATGGTGGTGGTGACAGGTGATGGTGGTGGTGTAGTGATGGTGGTGACAGTGGTAGTGGATGGTGGTGGGTGGTAGTGGATGGTGGTGGTGACAGTGGTAGTGGATGGTGGTGTGGTGAGCAGGTGGTAGTGGATGGTGGTGGTGACAGTGGTAGTGGATGGTGGTTGGTGACAGTGGCGGTGACAGTGGTGTTAGTAATAGGGTTGAAGGGTAGTGGGGAAGGGTCATAAGAAATAAGGTGGGATTAGGGGGGGTTGTAACGGGGAAGGCAGGGGGGGGGGATTGGGAAGCAGATGTCTAAAGGCTTTCTCCTTTACCTGATCATCCACCCCTCCACCCCATCCCTACACACACACCTGACCTTGGTAGGAACAAAACCATGTTTTGAAAAAATAATTATAACTTGTATTAATTGACTGTTGTCATTGTTGTGATTATTAAAATTACATTAATAATAATAATATTATTATTATCATTGTCGTCATTATGATTAATATCGGTAAGTAGCCGAGTTACCCAGCTTCGGGTTATTAATTAAACAAAATCCCTGCGTGGTATCCTAGCGCCATGGCATAGTGATGTTAAAAAACAGTCACTCACCGTCGCTCACACCACGGCCAGAGGTTGAGTCTAAACTCTTAATGTGCAGACATAAGTGTTGTGACAACCTGCCGACTTCCTAATCCTGCCATACCTTCAAAGTGCCGGGGGCACCACTTCCCTGTTTGCAGAGTTCAATTTCTTTATTTCTTTTCCACTAACTTGTTATAGCATTCAGTTTTTACAACTCTGTTCTAGTAAATATCAATAACTTCACACAAAAATATTTGTGTATCACGTACACTTACCATGACTACAGAACTGACCGTGATTTGTACCATACAGCCAGGCATGATTGCGCAATCACCATGAGTAACGACAAAATATCAGATACTCTCCATTCATCTGCGAAAGCCTAACTAACTCTTTCCTGAACACTGCTGCACAAGACACACATCAATAGAAATATTAAGTCTTTAGTTGTGAAGCTTTATAGTTATAATTATGTAAACTTCTGCCTTAGACACAATTCATTTGTCATCACCAGCTTGTAAGAATGTCGGAAGAAGATGGCTTCGACCACTTACTATCAAAGGTGGGATTCGGACGATGGCAGCTGCTAATGATCTCCACATCGTTGTTTAGTAAGTATATATCGACTTGCCCGCCATAGTTACCCACACAAACCTTGTTACCTCATATAAAACCTTTCCATTGGTCTGTTACATGTGATGTGTGCTATTCATATTACATTAGACACTTGACAACATAATGATTTGGTTTACATTTCTAATCTTGTAATTTTATTGGTCTCATTTTACAGATTAACATTTTATAATTAGCGTCATGTATGTTTACATCCTCTGTTGTTTTGTTCTTTAATTTATCATCTTTGTCATTTGTCGTAAAGGTCTTGACATGAACTGTACGGACTCTTGAATGTCCCTGAATATGTTGTGGGGTATGGGATGTTTGTGTTCACACTCAGGATGGAATGGAGAAAGGAAACTCACAATGTGCTCTCTGTATACATGTTGTATTGGATGTACAATGTAGCTTGGTGCTGGGAAGGCAGCATGGTTACAAGCGTGATGTAGAGAGAGCTGGTTGGTGAGGGTGCTCAGAGGAGGACAGCTTGTGGGTCGCCATGCTCGCCGGCAGGGCGAGGACCGCCAGGCAGCGGAGGAAGGAGGGTGTTGCTGGCTGGTTGGTGTAGGTAGAAAGAGAGAGGTCACCACGAGGTCAGGTCTTTTATAGCGGAGGTAGGCGTGGGTTGACCCAGACCACTGTGGAATTCGCGGGGTCGGCTACTCAGCGACAAACAGCGTTTGTAGGGGAGAAATTCACTACAATGTATACTCGACTGTTGTACTTTGATAGCTTTGATATAAATAAATACTGACAGCAATTTTAAAGCTATACTTCCTTTGTTGTAATGCATACTAAGGAAGGAGAGGGTGTGGGGGCGGCGCCACGAGGTCTGTGTATGTGAAGGACACAAGTGGACCATTAAATGAATCGGGCATCCAAAAGCCGCCCATCACCTATACACCTACACGACCTCCGTCCCTCGTCTTACTATGAGAATATAACCCTTACGTCATTCTATTAACATAACCTCTTTACTAAGTTGATACATCAATCGAGCTTTAGAAATACATTATATATAATATTGAAATAATCACGTTTGAGTCACACTGTAAGGAGACAAATACAAACATTGTAAAAATATTATTAAATAAGGATAACTTTACCTACCATATGAAGTCTAGTGAAGAACTATCACAAGATGAGATGTCCGGTATGTTAAGGTTCACTTATCTCTGGCATTTTTTTCAATATTGCACAAACGACCCTGTAAAAGGAAAAATAAATTGGATTAAAAAGTGTTCAAACCTTTGTTCACATTTTCTTTTCAATAATAGGGAGAATACAACACACGTTCCATCCTCTCTCGGTGTTCTGATGAAAGGAAACACATCTCTAGAACAGTTTACCGGACTTATTTCCCAGTCGTTATGTAGTTTATTTTACTTAACTAAGACACGTATGAGGGGGGGGGTGTGACGTAATACTTTTTCCAACCAGTTCTGCTCAACACAACCCCTCCGTCACACCATCATCTACTTATCTCTAAAGGACTATATATTTTTATATGACATAATACTACTACGTTCTTCCAGCCATCACGTTTACAAAGATCTTGTCACTTAGTCCTTGTCTGGATAATAATTCTCCCAGAGAAGACGAAGGAGGACAAGACCAATATTTCTTTTTTTTTTGTTTTCCCCCAATTAACAGGTTACATTAGGGCTGTCGGTCTGTTCTTTATCATCTCTATTCACTTCATTGTCCACTGCTAGTTCTATATGTAAAGCATTTCAACTGGTCAGGTTTATTAAACACAGAGCACAAGCATAAGTTTCTAGATGAGACGTAATTCTTTTTAATTTATGACACATCTGATACAAGTTAAAAAAATGATGTCCATGCCTTCCGTCCTGGGACTTACAAAGGATTAGGCTCTGAAACTGGCAAGTTGTGATATAAGTGGAGGTAAAAAGTACATATTTATACCCAAGATAAAAAGAAGGGATTGTTTTTACATAAAATGAAAATTGGGCCCAAATTTATAATGAAAAAAAAACCAGAAAGCAAATTCCTAGCCAGGACACTTGGGTGTAAGTGATACCCAGCTCACCCCTCAACTTACGATAGTTCAGCCCAGTTGAGATTTGATCATTCAAATTTCACCAATCTAGTCTCATTTAATACTTCGAATCCCAAACTAGGTTGAATCAGAAGTAGATACGTGATGATGCATACCTTCAGACACACCAGAGCGATTTACTTATCACATGTCCATCTAACAAAAACTGGATCAACTAGGGTATCTGTATATTGTACAAGAAATGACAAATATACTGCATCATTTTTCCCTGTTTATCTTGGAATACATCATCCAGTGCGGCTTGATACCCACTCTCAACTTGTCAGTCTGCCATGACGAGAGAAAATGATGGACACAATGCATTTATAAGACTCGAGTACTTGAGGACGACCTTGGCTTTGTATTTTTTAAAACAATGACATAAACATATGCGTGGACTTGGTCTTATGAGTATATAATGTTTTCTTTCATTACTATTCTGTTTCAAAAAAATTGTTGATGGGGTAGAAACCCTACCGTTTAAACAAATATCTCTCACGTATGACAAGACAGAAGTTTGAGTACAAAATGACGACTAAAGCCTCACTTTTCCCCAACAAATACACGGTGACCTCATCGTAGTGCAGATACAGGTACTGTAATTATATTTTACCTCCAGTAGGCTGCTCACAACCCTACAGGTAATGTGTACAGTACTCATTAACCTACAGTCATCCCTTGGTTATCACGCCTAATTGGGACCACGCCGAGTGCGTGATAACGAAAGTACAGAACCTATGGGATTTATTCTAATTGGTTCCAGTACTGTATACTGCCAGACTGGGAGTCACTAATACTAAGGGTAAATACTTAGCTCTAATCTTAATTTCTAAGGGTCGCTGCCACCAGACCCCCTCTGGACAGCATGTAGCTCGTTAGGTAGCGTGCAGAGTGGACTAGGCATTGGGTTAGGTTTTCCATTGACCAGATCGATAAGGGGAAAGAAGGGTGAAACCATTGTAGGTTATGTATATAAGCTACTGTGCCGAGTAGCAACCCTGTATATAAGCTACTGTGCCGAGTAGCAACCCTGTATATAAGCTACTGTGCCGAGTAGCAACCCTGTATATAAGCTACTGTGCCGAGTAGCAACCCTGTATATAAGCTACTGTGCCGAGTAGCTTATATACATAACTAACCATAACATGTCTTAATTAATTTATTCCTTATAAAGCATACTGGTAAAAAACATACAAATGAATTGGTCTTCCTCAGAAGAACAACGAAAATGTTGGTTACCCAGATGGGCACCAGACGTCTTACATTAATGGCGTGTCATCCACATACTTATTGCATAACAATCTGTGACCACCTTACCTCGGTCATTCCTTCTTACACTATCCCTTAACACATCAGACTGCTCCACCTGTATGGAATATAGCACCGTCGGTTATCATACATAGTAGCACCATCTCAACACACATGTTACACTCCATACCTGCAGGTATGGGACTCCTTGTGACTTTTAGGTATACACAACAGGCACCTCGTTCGCACACCGCCCTCGGTGGGTAAAGACGAGGGCTTCACCCAGAGACATACCAGCACTATTTCTACGCCTGGTATTATAGGTCGCTCCAAGTGACAACCGCGGAGTTTCTCACGGTCTCCTTATTTGTGACTAATCATTTGGAGTGGTGCGCTGGAAATCCACAGGTTCACAGTGGAGTGGCATCGCTGGGAGTAGTCACCACCTGTTGGGACGCTCATAGGGATAATGGCTGCCGGGCAGCAAGGCACTCCGACCGCATGGAACCTGAGGTGACGGTAGAACGGAGGGTACTCAGAAATAATGCCTGACGGGCGGTTATCACACCCCCTAACACATTACTATTACACTTATATATCAGGCAAAGCTTTAAACTGTAATAACTTCTATATAAGCCTTAATTATAGGGCGGGATATAGCCCGATAGGACACTGAGGTGACTGTAGAACGGAGGGTACTGAGGGCAGTGCCCTGCCGCTCGTCACCGCATAGGCCTACAGTTTCCAATCTTCAATTTTTACTTTTATTTCTTACGGTTCTCACCTGAACACTTTTCAGTATATTGTCACTCATGCCGTATAAACACATATTTTAATCCTAAATTCCCCTCTAAGGTAAGGTCTTGGTTTGCTAGTTCGTGGGTAAATTCATTGGGTTATAATATCAACGCGGCACACCCGAGGCGGGTACATGACGCGCCTTAAAACAAAGGCTGAATGTTCATGGCGGGGGTGTATCAACTTCACTTAAAACTGTAATGAGGGATCCTCCTCTCATACATTGCACTATTTGAACACAGACATAAGATTCTCTGATCACTGTACCTGTCGTGGGTATATGTCACGTGAGGAAACGAGGTGTATTAAGTTCATACCGACGCATACAAGATATTTCCTTTCAAGTATAGTTTCTGGGTTACTTCCAACACCTCACATAGTTCTGATATATTTATCCTTTTTCCAGATCATTGTTCTCATGTATTTTCATATGATATCTGTCGAAGTTATGTTCGCTACACGCTCACAAACGTAAATAGTGTTACCTTCAAACCCTGATCCACACTTAGTCCTACAGTACACTAGTCCGGCTCAACTGGACTTTAACATTCATCTTATGGATACCCTGAGTTCTCCTTAATGCTATGAATACATACAATTAATATGATATAACTGTACCTGGGTACAATACAACACATGGTCTAGTTGTAACGGGCCGAGTTTTCTCTTTTCAATAATTTACCATCCAGCCACTCTTTTCTGTTAGTATTCTATTTATTCATATACTTATATGTTCTGTGTAGTACTCTTTCCAATGAGTACCCAGTTCTATATACTTATCCTTCTTCAATTCTTTACATATATATATATAGATACAGACATATATATATATATATATATATATATATATATATATATATATATATATATATATATATATATATATATATATATATATATATATATATATATATATCTTATGTATTCTTGCTCATATTCTGATATGTTCTTTATCTCTATATACCTTATATTCTTATACAAGTAACTCTTATGCTTCTCTACTTATGTTTTCCAAGTCCATGTTCTTTCCTTTCTGAAGTATACTTTGTTTTATGTCTTTCTTATACATGGGTTAGTCTGGGGAACCATGTTATTCTTTGTACAACACTTTTTATACTTACAAAGGGTAGCTGCCACCACCCAGACTTTTCATTAAATAACATAGCTCATGGAAAGTTGTTGGGTAGTGTGGTAGATGTCTAGGCACGTGAGTAAGTATTATTTTCTGGGAACCAATGTTTAGAAGGAGTAGAGTGGTGATACTCAGATTACTAATTCAATATTTATTAACACAGTGAGTGGAGAAGATGCATCTTAAATTCACTCAGGCTAAACAGAACTGCAATTAACTTATTAAATCATCAAACACTTCAAGAGCTTATTACCTCATTCAACACCTCCACATACTCATTACTTTATGAGACAATTGGGATATCATTACCTTGATACATGAGATTCCGTATTATTATTCACAAGCCATCACTGGACCCTCAGGTCTTACTTTAACAAGTAACAAATTACCTCTCCACTTCTTGATTAGAGCATGATACTCTCAGGTTATTCTTTCATGGGTACTAGAGATGAATACATAACACACTGGACTAACTCCACAATTATAGTAACATACGATACCTCCTGTTAGTGTGCAAGGAACAACCTGGTACCTTGAACTCTCATTCAGTGGTTCAATACTTAACCTGGGATGACTATATTTCTGCTAGTCATCCCTAAGCATGGATATTAATACGGCTCCATACATATAACCAAGAACATTGGGTAGACCATGATCATATGACGGAGTCAGTGGGCCAGAGTTGTTTACAGGCTCGCTCGCTAGCTCGGAGCGCCTGGCCCGGGAAAAGTTGACTGTGGCGGTGGGCCGTGGCGTCTGCCAAGGAATCTCGCCCTGGGATTCTAATCTCGCCACCTTAAAGACGTTTTTCGAGAGACATCGTGCCCATAGGCGGCTCCCAAACCTCAGGAGTGTTGCTAACCCCCACAACAGCGTCTGGAGACGTGGAGAAGAAATCACAGGAGTGAATATTTAACTTCACTATACAAAACATACGTCTGGCACCGGTTCAGACGATAGCTAGCCCTCTACTTTACTTGACTCACTTGGCACTGAAGGTACTATGTTAAAACATGAACACTGATATTCACAAAAAATGACTAAGTTAAACTGAGTTAATATGGCGGCGTGGAACACACGTGAACATACCTGGAGACGTGGAGAAGAAATCACAGAAGGAGTGATTTCCCTTCGCGCGCCTGCATATATACGGGCCTGAGGGCATATTCCTACTAGAAAGATAAATTTCACTAACAATAGACCCTCTATTCACAGTAGTCGTTGGACACCTAGCTGTGACCGTCAGTGTCACAGATCAGGCTAATTTTCTACATCTATATTTATGATTTAATCAGAGGTTGAGTTTGTCAGTAAAGAGGTGAATTGAAGTTATATATGCGTTCGCAACTCTATTGGCCTGACCGCAAACCACATCCCCGGTCAAACGGCCGTTAAATCTGGGAGAATTTTGAGTTTGACAGGAACTGTTCAGAAGATGAATGACTTTCTTAAATAGACAACTGACACTAACTAAACTATGAACATCAGATTCTCTGATGTCGGGGCAACAAAACAATATAACTTCAGTAGCGATCAGAAACCCATGGATTGGATATCCCCACGGACGACCTAAAATACGCCACTCTAACTGGCAAACTCAACATTCGCCTACTTGACACGTCTTACTACCAATAAGGACAGTTGAAGCGTTCAACACCACTCACAATGGATCTTGAATGTTCCAACTGTAAACAGACATATCTAAGTTGACTCAAAACAAAGGTGTTCTCTCTCACATTCAAATACATTATATAGAGAGGTTGGTTTCAGTAAGTCAGAGAAAATGGGATAACGGAGGACTGAGGCGTCTTGAAGTGACGAGAAAACGGACTCCTCAGATGGAGGACTCAAAATAAAAGCAGAGGACATGTTTTGTGGGCTATTGAGCGTAATATGAATCATTTGATTTTGGCGTTAACTGACGTGTACGACCGTGGTCGTTACATAGTAACATTGAGTAGGTGAGTTATCCTTTATCAATGTTTCCCGTTTTCTGAGGTTCTACAAGCTCGGTGGATTTGAATATTATATAGCGTAATATGAATTAAATGGGGTTTTTAGGAATGACAATGATGTGCGCAGTACACCAGGCACCCAAGACCCAACCCCAACTTTCCCATTTTACAACCATTTAGACCCACTAAATATATATATATATATATATATATATATATATATATATATATATATATATATATATATATATATATATATATATATATATATATATATATACAGTAGTTATGGTAAATATCAGAAACACACATAGGCATGGCTAGGTTTATTACAAAGTGATGAAAAGGGTATGCTCAATACTGTAATTCACAAAACATGTAACTATGCTTTCTTTATTTGAGTCCCCCATCACAAGAGTCCATTTTCTCTCGCTTCAGGAAGCCTGAGTCCTCCGTTTTCTCTCAATCTTAGAGTGCACCAAAGACTTCGTTATTCCTTAGTAATGACACAGAATTTGAAATTGCAACCCCAATTGCAACTGGAGTTGCAATTGTTGAGGCAACTACATATGTCTGATTACAGCAAATGTGTTATTGTCAATTTGTAGGTGAAAGATTTTATCCTCAATAGATGGAGGCAAATGCGTGATAACCAGATTCTCGCCCTGAAAAATGCGCTATAACAGCAGGTGTGCAGATTTTGATGGAGGCGTGATAACGAAAATCGCAATAACCATGTGCGCTATAACCAAGGGATGACTGTATAGTGAAGAACTCCTATGTGGGGTCCCATATAGTACTGAAGAGTGGCATTTTGATATCAATAAGTTAGTCTTAACTATCAATGTGTCTTGTCTTCAACAGTGACGATGGTGTTGCCAATTCACATGGTTGGCTCACCTCTAATCAGTGCTCCCGTGTCTTTCCGCTGCTTCGCTGATGCTACGTCTGATGATGGGTTTCAACCATCATTTGAAAGGTAATCCCTAATATTTTATTCATTGCAAATATTACACTTAGTACTTCTTAAAACTGAAGGAAATTTGGCACATAATTCACTTGTCTGATTTTTCTTGAACAAATTGTTGATTTCTTTTTGTGTATCAGGGTCAACAGTTCATCCAGCAACAGCAGTGATTACTACAACAGTATCTGCCTGAACCACACCATCCCAGTCACTGTTGCTACACTGGAGGCCACCACCAACTCTAACAGCTCAACCCGCCGTAGAACCAACCTGCCTTCCTGCCCCTTTATTAAATATGACAGCTCCATCTTTACCTCAACCGTTATTTCTGAGGTTTGTCACCATCAGTGATGCACTACAGTCGTAACTTAATGAATACGTTGTAAAGGTCATCAACATTATCCGTGATACAGGTCTAGCCCATAACGTTAACAGTTTGTTTAGGGCGAGGGAAAAGTGTTGAACTGTTGATGAAATGCATTACTTAATGCTTTTAATCTAAACAAGTTAATACACTAGCCATCAACAATTAAAATTAAGATACATCTCTGGTTAAATATGTATCATTATGATTTAGTAATTCAGCATATGAAGACCATAATTTGTGTTTCCTCCCTCAGTATGACCTGGTGTGTGAGAGAATGTCTTTACAGCCTTATTACCAGATGGTGTTCAATATTGGAGGAATATTGGGCAGTTTTATCGGTGGCCACATTGGAGACAGGTGAAGTACTGACAACTCTCTTTATCTCATGCAATTGTTCCTCACATGTATGAAATGCTTTAGTCTGTCTTCATAGGTGATATTTACATTGATTTCTGGGCATTTAGCTGATTTGGTAAAAAAAAAAATGGTGTTTGTCAACCCTGTTAAAACATTAAATACATTGGGCCTTAAAATTTTAAATCACCCTTACATTCATTTTCTCAGTAATATACTCTCTTTTTGCTTTAAACACGTTAGTTTTCAATTTCCAGAGAAAAGGCATTTTGTTCAAAATTCATAAGAAGATCCTCTCTTACATGCTGTTCATGGATTTGGGTTCAACATTTTTTAATTCAACTCATTAGTGCTAATTAATGAGCATTACAATAATTTAATACATTTGTACAGAGTATTCAAAACCCAGGTTGGTCGATTTAAACCAATGGTTTAAACCAAATGGTTTAAAACAAAAACAAAAACATTTACTCTATGCCATTTTTGTTGTTTGTAAAAAGTTTTTGGTGATTTTAATTACTTACAGATGGTTTTAATGATTTATAGTAGATTTGGAAAAGGTTTATGATAGGGTGAACAGAAAAGCATTGTGGGGGGTATTACAAGTGTATGGGGTGGGAGGAAGGCTATTAAATGCAGTACAGTGATCCCTCGGTTAACGAAATTTCGGTTAACAAACTGCCTTCCATAAGGATCTTCAATTCGGTTAACGAACAAAAATTCAGTTAACGAACTTCTTACGAACCGACCTCAACATGTTTTCGCTTGCACTGACCGGGCAACCAGCTTTAGTATCAGTCCGCCAATACATTAATCGGTTCTAGGGCTTAATTTCCTTACTATTTTAATAAATATCAAGAAGTTTATACTATTCAATAATTTTAAAAGTTTAATATTCAATTTTTTAGTCATTTTAACAATTATTGAACATAATTGAAGGTAAAGTGACTAGTTTAATGCACGGCATCCAGCCTCTTAACACAGCAAACAGGAGTTAGTCTCTCTCTGTTTTCACTGGAGGTAACATCTTGCTTGAGACTCTCTTCAATTAAACGCTTTTTTCTGTGTTTCCAAGCAAATTATTGGTCATTTTGAAATTTATTTTACATATTGACAATATATAGCGCAGTGTTATTTTAAAGAAAATATTCTTTATTTACAGCTAGTTTAACTTTGAAAAACACGTGTTGACATTGTTTGAATCCAGCATGGGGCCTAAAAGATCAAGAAAATCTATTTCAATCCAAACCAAGCAGGAAATCATAAAAAAACATGAACAAGGCATTAAATCAAATGTGCTTAGCAAAGAATATAGCATGTCGGCATCAACTGTGTCGACAATTCTTGCACAGAAAGACAAATTTAAAGAAGTGAAAGTGAGAGACAAATCTACAAGTGTTTAAAAGTAGATCCCTAATTGCAGCCAGGGAGATTTATGAACATTTAAAGGCAGATCAACCTAGTTCTTCAGGCACAGAATTTGAAGATTTTCGGACCAGCAAAGGCTGGTTCGAAAAATTTAAGAAAAGAAGTGACATTTTAAGTGTTGTTAGGCATGGTGAAGCTGCTAGTGCTGATAAAGAAGGGGCAGCAAAGTTTTTAGTTGAATTTAAAAAAACTGATGGAAGAAGAAAATTATTTTCCACAGCAAGTGTTCAATGTGGACGAAACTGGGCTGTTCTGGAAAAAGATCCCCAAAAGAACATTCATCACCAAAGATGAAGCTTCTTTACCTGGGCATAAACCCATGAAAGACCGTCTCACTCTATTGCTTGGTGCCAATGCTTCAGGGGATTTCTGACTGAAGCCTATGCTTGTCTACCACTCAGAAAACCCCAGGGTGTTCAAGCAGCAGAAAGTGGTAAGAACAAAGCTTGGAGTTTATTGGAAGTCCAACCGTAAGGCATGGGTGACAAGACAGCTCTTTAATGAATGGGCTGTTGATGTGTTTTGCCCTTCTGTCAAGAGCTACCTAACCACCAATAAACTCCCTTTAAAGGTTCTTCTCCTCGTGGATAATGCTCCTGGTCATGACCCTGACCTTGCCAGCAATTTGGAGTATCAATTTGACTTTGTGAAAGTGTTGTTTTTGCCTCCAAACACTACACAATCATACAGCCAATGGACCAGAATGTAATCAGCAACTTCAAGAAGTTGTACATGAAGAAAATGTTTAGGTGTCATCAGGCAACTTCCAATGATCCTGAACTAACACTGAAACAGTTCTGGAAGACACAATTCAACGTCCTGGAGGCTGTAAAATTGATTGTGTCATCATGGCAAGAAGTCTCCAGTAGATCCCTCAATTCTTCATGGAAAGCACTGTGGCCATCAGTAGTCCATGATTTTGAGGGATTTGAGGAAGAAACAGAGTTGGACAAGGAGATTGTGTCCATTGGTCAGTCATTGGGCCTTGAAGTGGAGGAGGAGGATGTGGAAGAGCTTGTGATGTCTCATGAGGAGGAACTTACTCCTGATGACTTGAAGCAACTGGATGAGATGTTACAGGTAGAGGCTGACAGTGGTGAGGAGGAAATTGAAAGTGATGACCATATGTCAGCTAAACAGTTGAAAGATGTGATTTACTACTGGGAGAAGTTCAGGGAACTGGCTTCAAAGCACCCAGAAGTGGAAAAAACTGAACTAACTTTGTGTCATGTTGAGGACTCAGTGGTCTCCTTCTTTAAACATACTTTTTTTTACTTTTATCCTCTTCGCCACTGATCGGCTTGTTAGCCGCTTGGGCGATCGGTCACGTCTCTTTTCCTTTATATTCTTCACCAAAAGGTCGGCTCGCTAGCCGCCCGGGCGATCGGTCACGTCTCTGTCACGCACTGTTGGCAAATACTGGGCATGCACCGGCTCCTGAATGTACCTGAACCCGCTCCAGTGTTGGTCAAGTCTTCTCTTGAAAGAGCTCACACTCGGTGCCGTCACAACACTCTCTGGTAGATTGTTCCAAGAGTTTACAACCCTCACTCCGAAAAAGTTTGCCCTCACGGTTTTCTGGACTTGCGGCTTCTTCAATCTTGAGCTGTGACCCCTTGTGGGGCGAGCGTCCGCCAGCTCCAAGTAAGGACACTCAACTGAGTAGTGCCCCCTGAGATGCTTATAAACCTCAACTAGGTCCCCCCTTGCCCGTCTGTAGTATAAGCTAGGCAAGTTCAGGCGCTCCAATCTCTCAGGGTAGCTGAGATGCCGAAGTGCAGGCACCAGTTTGGTGGCCCTCCTTTGAACATTTTCAACCAACTGACAGTCCCTAGCATATCTCGGGGACCAGATGGGGTGACAGTACTCCAGATGGGGAAGCACTTCACTCCTGAAGATCGTCACGAGGGACGGACCGTCTAGATATCTGAACGACCTTCTTATAAGACCCAATAATTTATTTGCCTGATTTACCTTCTTCTCACAATGGCCCGAGAACTTCAGCTCATTGTCAACATACACACCTAGGTCCTTCTCACACACAGTCTCAACTAGTACATTTTCTTCATCCCGTTGGGACATATGGTACGCCTCCTTACCGTTGGTACGCCCCAGGTGCATCTTCTTACACTTCGTGACATTGAATCTCAGCAGCCATTCCTTCGACCATTCCTGGAGCTCACAGAGGTCCTTCTGCAGCTCTTCACAGTCCGCTTGGTTCTTAATTTCCCGAAATAACTTGGCGTCATCGGCAAACATTTGTATGGAGGAGTGTACAACGTCAGGCATATCATTTATGAAACAAACAAACAACAGCGGGCCCAATACACTACCCTGCGGTACCCCACTTGTTACAGGTACAGATGACGATTTCGTGCCATTAATCACCACACATTGCTTGCGGTCATGTAGAAAGTCTTCTATCCACGCTAGGACATTTCCCCGAATTCCGTACCCTTCCAGTTTGATTTTCAGCCTTTCGTGGGGTACACTGTCGAAAGCCTTGGCAAAATCTAGGTAAATATTGTCGATATTACCACCCCGTTCTAGAATATGGGTCCAAATATCCAATACCTTGAGCAATTGTGTCAAGCAAGAGCGCCCCGGCATAAAACCGTGTTGGCAATCTTTTACAAGGTTGTTTCGTAGTAGATGTTCCATCGCTGCATCTCTGATAATACTCTCAAGTACTTTACATATTATGCTGGTCAGGCTCACCGGTCTATAGTTGTTCGTGGAGTGCCTATCGCCCTTCTTGAAGATAGGACTCACATAAGCCACTTTCCATTCACTGGGGACCATTTGTTCATCCAGGCATTTACAAAACAGAATCTTCAGGGGCTCTGCAAGCTCGTTGCACAGCTCCCTTAGCACTCTAGGATGCACCATGTCAGGTCCAGGACTCTTATGGACCTTTAGCCTGGACAGTTTATTTCTAATACCCTCTTCTGTGAACACAATGTGGGTCAGTGCTGTGTCGAACCGTCTGTCCTCAAACGCAGGAAGGTTAGTTGCATCCTCTCTTGTGAACACTGAGGAAAAGAAGCTGTTCAATGCCTCAGCTTTATCCTGGTCAGAATCTGCGTAACTACCATCTTCAAGCCTCAGGTCTGATACTCCTACTCGCGTTTTCAATTTCGACTTTGCATAGCGGTAAAACGCCTTTGGGTTTGACTTGACCTCGCGTGCAACCAGCCTTTGGAACTCCTTTTCAGCCCTCCTACACTCTATCTTTGCTTGGTTTCTGGCTCTTGCATACATCCTCCTGTCTTGCTCATCGTTTGACCCAACCCACGTCTTGAATTTCTGGGTTTTCTTCTTAATTTTGTCGACCGCCGCATGGTTCATGTGTAGGGATCCCCTCGTATTCCTAGAAGCACTGGGTTTGGTCTTGGGTATATATTTATCGATCAAATGGGTCATTTTACTAGTTATGATATTCAGCGTAGTGTCTGCGTTCTTGTACCTTAATAAGTCAGGCCAGTTGATACCCCTCATCTCTTCCCTCATCCCATTGTAATTTCCCTTGTAATATTTGCACCTTGGCCTGGCCTTATCTTGAACTAGGTAACAGTTAAATCTGAATGACAACACTGTATGGTGACTGGTGCCAACTGGGGCAAGGTGTTCCAGTTTGGCCACCATACCCTCCTCGTTTGTTATGATGAGGTCAAGTGGCTTGGGTGTTTGCTCCCCTCTGTAATGTGTCGGGTCTCTCACATGTTGGAACAGAAAATTATCTCTCAGAGTTTCTACAAAAAGAGTAGCAGGATTATTCAAGTCATTCGGGGTTGACTCGTTTCTCCAGTCGATGTCGCCATAGTTAAAGTCCCCCATGATAAGGAGGTGGCTGGGGTTGAGCATCGCCGCATTGTTTATTAAGGTTCTTAAGTTCCTTTGATTTAGTGGGCCACAGTTCGGGGATCTGTAGATACACCCGACGATAAGTAAGTCCCCTCCCTTTAATTTAATTTTACACCACTTGGACTCTTCAAAAACATCCTCTCCCTGTACCCTCGCCTGGCTGGCTCTAAGGTCTTGCCTAGCGTAGATAACCACACCCCTCCTGCAGGATTCTTGAGTTAGGTTCGTAAATGAGTCATATCCAGCAATACTGAACTCACATTCCTCTGGGTCGATTCTCCTGTTCTTGTACAACAGTTCTACAACTCCTACAATATCTGGTTGGTGTACTCTTAGTAGTGTTTCAAACTCCTCCCTCTTATCAAGGAACGTGTCAGTATTAGTGTACATGACATTCAAGCCAGAATTTGTTCTCGGTAACGTCTCTGCTCTTAGTAATAAACCCGCTCCACCCACATTCTCAGAAGCTGCAGCATTTGCTAAGTACACTGTATTTTGCAGGGTGTGGTTAAAAATGTCATTGTTTACACGGCGCTCGTTCCCTCCTGTCCGGTAGGCTGAGCTGGTGCCGCCTCCCGGGTGGGGGGTTGAGTGGGTGGAGGGTGCACTGCTGCCCCCTGGCCCTGTGTCGGCACACTTGTTTCCACTACCCTCCCCCTGAGTATAACCCATGTGCACCTGTCCCCGTTCCTCCTCGACTCCTCCCTCTTCTGCTTCAAGTCCAGCAGGAGTTTCTTGTGCTGTTCCCTCTGCATTACCGTGCGGTCTGGGTGAATAAATACATCCCGAAATGCCTCGCTCCTTGCTAAGTTTTTTGCCTGCCGGATAACTTGCCATTTCTCCTCCTCACTCCCAAGTGTGATCCTGAGGGGGCGAGGCTTAGCCCCCTGCTTTTGTCCCAGTCTCCTCACATCCTGAGGGGTTGCTGGAATCTTCAGAACCTCTGTGCAAATATTTTGAAACAGCACCTTGTCGTGTGTTTCCTTACTCACAGTTCCCTCTGCCTGGCTCTCTGGGACTCCAAAAACTATTACATTGTTCCTGCGCTGGAGCCATTCCTGGTGTTCCTCCTCTCCCCTAACAGTCGGTGCGTTAATTTTCATTTCTTCGACACACTTTTTCAGAGTCCCAATCTGCTGTAGAACCTGTACTGATTCTGCATTACTCTCCGCCCCCCCACGTGGCCCTCCTAATACGTCAGCATAACTCCTCTTAGCAACCACCTCCATTCTATTAGCTACTTCCTCAGTCTTAGCAAGGATCTCTTTCTCAACTTGCTCCAGTTTGTCAACCAGCAGGGCTCCTGCTTCATCTATTTTCGTCCCTAGAGAACTCGTTCCCTTATGGATTGCAATCGCTTCATTCACCTTGACTATGCAGCCAGGGCAATACCAGCAACAGCCATCAAGCTTTACGGCAGTTAGTAACTTCCTAAACGTTGCATTAGTTAGGCCTGCATCCTCCATATCCGACGTCTCCCTGCAGTAATCACATATCAAACTCATGGTTGTTGTTGTTGTGGGGGGGGGGGTGCAGACTGTGTATAAATCTACACCTATTTCAAAGAAAATAAAGAGAGAAAAAGTACTTAGCTACTCTCTGTTGCCTATAGAGTTGTCGTCTGCAACTGCGTACACTGTATCTCCCTGTCAATGGTGTAATGTAGGCACAGTTTCAGTCCTTGAGAAAGCACACAATCAACATAAAATTTAAAGTCTCTGTGGCACCTATGACACGACTTGGTTTCAGCTGGCAAGGTGCCTTTCCAGCTTGCTTGCTAGTGAGCGCTCACTTTAAGTTATTTACAACTTCCGCGGTCACTGATGACACTATGAACTATCACTGTGTACACTGTATCTCCCTGTGAGTGGTGTATTATAAACACAGATTCAGTCCTTGAGAAAGCACACAAACAAAATAAAATTTAAAGTCTCTGTGGCACCTATGACACGTATAGGCTGGCAGTTGTCCTTACCAGCTCGATTGCCAATATGTATTCACTTTAAGTTATTTTAGTCTCTTCTGCATTCACTGATGACAACTATGAACTGATTTAACTGAAGGCACAGTACTACACTCCCTGGTTGGCCTTTATCACAGCCGTGACCACAACACCCTAAAAACTAAAATAAAATAAAAGCTTTGTCATGTGGCAGTGATTGTGTGGTTATAGGCCTGTGACCCTGGCTGTACCTCCAACTCGGTGGAAATTGAGTTTTCAAAAATACAATCGTGTCTAGCATGAAAAGTCCGACATCGATTTACACTTTCACCTCACTAAGACGATCTTGACGAACTTATGTAATCACTGTCCAATTTCTGCCGCTCTACATCGAAGGCCCGAATGCCGAACACGCTTTTGTTACAGAGACGCAACACGACCCGCCCGCTCGCCCGAGGAGGACAGGTGCCCCACAGACCACAATTGACACTTTCTTCAGTAAAAGGCAGAGGGAACAAGATGCTATCCCTCAGCCTTCCACTTCAAGGAGAGAGGATGTTCATGGTGGAGAATCTGTCAGTCCAGAGGTTCCTGACATTTTCATGGAAGGTGACTCACCTTCCAAGAAGCAGTAAAATGCTTCTCCTCCACCTCCACTTCCTTCTCTTCTCCTCCTCCACCTCCCACTTCAAATGCACATCATCATCATCATCGTCCAGGAGCCTTCTACATACACACCTCAAAGTAAGTGAACTTTTCTACCATTTTTGTTGAATTTAGGAAATTTTCGGTGAGCTGGAACCAATTACACAAAAACCCATTGAAACAATGGTTTCGGTTAACGAACGACTGTAATAGCTTTGTATAAAAACAGTAGGACAACAGTAAATGGGAAATAAAGTGAAACATTTAAATAAATGTGGGTGTTAGACAGGGATGTGTTATGTCCCCGTGGTTGTTCAGTATATACATGGGTGTGAACTATTATACACTGGTGAAAGTAGTGAAAATAAGCTTTCTTACAGAGCTGTAAACATTTCAAATCCTGATTATAAGGGAGCCAAGTTGCCACTGTTCAGTATAACTGATTACTGCTTCTGTTTATGGTTGGGCCCCGTGTCTCTGATTATAATGTGTTCAGACCATGCATTATATGGGTCCAGGGGAGCCAGGTTGCCACTGCCCATCTCTCCAAATGTATTTAAATCCATTCTGTAAAACTCTGAACTGTAAAAGTAAATAGTTTTTCATGCATTAAGATGAACTTTAACTTAGTTTTTTACCTTTAAACCTGTAGGATGAGTCTGGATGACTGATCGAAGTTTTTTTTTTTAAACGGATAATTTTTTTTTACATTAAGTGGGGTATCCTATAGTATTAGATTTTTTGTATTTGACCTCCACTACTAGGAGGTTAAGTAGGTTTCTTTGGTTAGGTTGGTGCAGTCTTTTAATGATGCTTCAGCCAATTGTGTTTCTATTCAACTAAGGTTAGGTTAGGTTTGGTTTTATTTAGAAATAACCCCATTTTAAAACATTTGCCCAAACTACGACTGTCCACTGCAAAACACAGTGAAATTGTAGCATTTTAAAGTCCATTTTCTATGAAAAATCGGCGACGAGTATGTCGTCAATGATTACTACCGTTATTAAGAACATGTAATGGTCTACTGCTAAATTGGTACTGTTTTCTCTAAGACAATTAATAGCTACTAACAACTTGTGATGTATTCCCCCGTTAGTCGACACACAGGACTTTTAAGTTATAGTAAATCACATTTATTGTATATGTATATTAAGTAAGTACATACCTGGTTGATTATAATAATCCTTCGAGTATCTTCTCGTTCACGTGACCATCACCTCACTGGGTGTTCTTTCCTTGCTGCCTTCACATCTGGGGGACTGGGTATCATTAGCTTAGTTTCAACAGTCGATTTGTATGACAGAGTACGTTTTTTTCCGCACATCTTAATAACTGATGATATTGGCAAGAAATTTCCATTTTTAATTGTCGCCTCCTGCTTGGGTAGGCAGCGGTCACAACAAACATGGCAAGACTGACGTCACTGACCGAGAAATTAGAATATGAATGAAATTCATTATGGACATTACCAAGATAAGAACCTATAGTTTTTCTTGAGATAGTACATAAACAGTATTTTTAAATTTTAATGATATACTGTACTGGTCACATTACCATAAAGATGTGGGGAATCTCTGATAAAGGGGATACAGTATGCTGCAAATGTTGTTGGCTTGACATTTCCAGTTATCAGGGAACAGGATATAAAACATGGTGAAATTCAAATAATTTTAAAAAGACAACTATACAGTAAATGGACATGATCTAATTTCTCCTAGGCCTTTTTCTTATTTATTGTGAACTGCTTTTTTCATGTCTAATTAATATACCAATCAGTCAATCAGATCCCATCATTTGCTTTATAGTGTAGTGGCTACTCGTTGTTGTGAGTCACATTAACTGGTGACAAATATTAAGTTTCACGGTTATCTATTGTACCTGTTGTTAACACACTTAGTAAGAATTAATGTAAAGCAGTGGGAAAGCAAAGTGCAGAATATTATACAGAGTATTTACATTTTCTTCTCAATTATATTATTCTTCACACAAATTTAACTTTCAACATTTCAACAGATGGGGTCGCAAGAAAGCTGTGCAGATTGGGGCCTTAGGTAACATCTTGGCAGTGTTGGGCATGGTATTTGTGCCCTCCTATCCTTTCATACTACTGATGAGACTATTAAATGGCTGTAGCTGTATAGGTGTACTTATACCTACGTGGAGCTTGAGTAAGTCTTTCATATTACGGAGAGAAATGCTACAGTTATTCTACAGATACAATATGGTACAGTACAGTACTGTACAAATTTCAATTATATAATCCAAGAAAAGTGTATTTGCAGATTATAATTCATTTGATTTCAGCTGGGGATATATATTGACACGATACATATTTCACTTGGAATGTTGTACAGTTATCCATGGGCATAGAGTACAGTATGGGTCGGAGAGAAGGTGGCAAACACCTCTCCATTCTCCATTATTTTCTTTTTGTGGGGGGAGGTGGGGGGGAGAGGAAGGGATAACATACTACGCAGCTAATACTGTTAGGTACGCTAGTGTTTATTTGTTATATGATTGAAAATACCTGAAAAAACTAATTTGGGATTTTTATCCTTGTAAATTTATGGCTGTCTAAGCAAGTTGAAGTACTTTATTGAAATGTTCATTAATAAGTGAATTTAAATTTTTTTGTCATACTGTATTGTACTGTAATGAACGAACATTTTCAGTATTTATCTCCAATTATATTACACTTATTATAGTATGTTAACATATGTTTTATAACTACTGTACATGTATACCGTGCCCTTAAAAAAGTAATAAATACTGTAATAATGCATTAATAACTTTGTTTACTGTACTGTACTTGATGCCACATGAGACCGTAGATCAGCAACATCACATAAATCATAGATGCCACTGTTATATATATGTAATATAGTTAACACTTAACAATTATTACACTTGGTCTCTATCTCTTACAGTTCTCGAGTCAACACCATCCAATATTCGCAGTCTGGTCGGGATGCTTGGAGGGTTACCGTACTCTGTGTGTGTTATAGCATTTGCAGGCGTGAGCTACTACATTAGGACTTGGCAATACCTCTTGTTAGTCTGTTCATCCCCAGTGACTTTACTGTTGCCATTATCTTTGTAAGTACAGTATATTCAATGAATTTACTTATTAAATGTAATATTTCTGGTAGTCTTCATATAGCTGTCTGATGCACTGCAACTGTAAATGAAGTCTTGTCCTAGTAACTTGTAAAGTGTGATACAGTAGTGCATAATATAATCTTATAGCTACATGACAGGTTTATATATTTGTATTTAAGAACCTAAACTATAAATTATTCTTAACCCCTTCACTATGGGGATGCCACTTTTAATAATTTATTTGGCCAATGCCAGACAATTTTATTCAGCTCAGAGGGGACCCTGTACACAAGTTGTTAACATATAGAAGTTTCAAATTTTTTTTAGGAATATTGGATAATCACTGTCTAGAAGTGACCTATGATGCCTTGTCAACAGCATTGTGAATGAATCGCCCCGCTGGTTGGTGCAGAATGGGAGGGCAAAGGAGGCAACAAAAATTCTAGAGAGAGCTGTGAAGCAGAACAAAGTAAAACTTTCAGATAATTTAGAGACCATCATCAATAAAATAATAGAGGTAAGTTTGACCTGTCTTTTGAATCATTCACCAATCACCCTATTCCTGGTCAATATACAGTACTGTATTGTACTGTATTGTATAAATCATTGCAATTTCAGTACCAAGTGCTCTGGCAAAAAATTTATGCAATATCTAAGTTCATAAATTTAGTGCTACACTAGTACAGTGGCCCCTCGGTTAACGAACTCAATCCGTTCCAGAAGGTCGTTCGTTAACCGAAACGTTCGTTAACCGAAACCATTGTTTCAATGGGTTTTTGGGTAATTGGTTCCAGCTCACCGAAAATTTCCTAACTTCAACAAAAATGGCGGAAAAATTTACTTACTTTGAGGTGTGTATGTAGAAGGCTCCTGGATGATGGTGATGATGTGCATTTGAAGTGGGAGGTGCAGGAGGAGAAGGGAGAAGAGAAGGAAGTGGAGGTGGAGGAAAGCATTTTACTGCTTCTTGGAAGGTGAGTCACCTTCCATGAAAATGTCAGGAACCTCTGGACTGACAGATTCTCCACCATGAACATCCTCTCTCCTTCTTGAAGTGGAAGGCTGAGGGCTAGCATCTTGTTCCCTCTGCCTTTTACTGAAGAAAGTGTCAATTGTGGTCTGTGGGGCATCTGTCCTCCTCACCATTAACTTATGTTTAAAGAAGGAGACCACTGAGTCCTCAACATGACACAAAGCTAGTTCAGTTTTTTCCACTTCTGGGTGCTTTGAAGCCAGTTCCCTGAACTTCTCCCAGTGGTAAATCACATCTTTCAACTGTGTAGCTGACATATGGTCATCACTTTCAATTTCCTCCTCACCACTGTCAGCCTCTACCCGTAACATCTCATCCAGTTCCTTCAAGTCATTAGGAGTAAGTTCCTCCTCATGAGACATCACAAGCTCTTCCACATCCTTCTCCTCCACTTCAAGACCCAATGACTGACCAATGGACACAATCTCCTGGTCCAACTCTGTGTCATCCTCAAATCCCTCAAAATCATGGACTACTGATGGCCACAGTGCTTTCCATGAAGAATTGAGGGTTCTATTGGAGACTTCTTGCCATGATGACACAATCAATTTTACAGCCTCCAGGACGTTGAATTGTGTCTTCCAGAACTGTTTCAGTGTTAGTTCAGGATCAATGGAAGTTGCCTGATGACACCTCCTAAACATTTTCTTCATGTACAACTTCTTGAAGTTGCTGATCACATTCTGGTCCATTGGCTGTATGAGTGATGTAGTGTTTGGAGGCAAAAACAACACTTTCACAAAGTCAAATTTATACTCCAAATTTCTGGCAAGGTCAGGGTCATGACCAGGAGCATTATCCATGAGGAGAAGAGCCTTTACAGGAAGTTTATTGGTGGTTAGGTAGCTCTTGACAGAGGGGCAAAACACATCAATAGCCCATTCATTAAAGAACTGTCTTGTCACCCATGCCTTACGGTTGGACTTCCAATAAACTCCAAGCATTGTTCTTACCACTTTCTGTTGCTTGAACACCCTGGGGTTTTCAGAGTGGTAGACAAGCATAGGCTTCAGTCGGAAATCCCCTGAAGCATTGGCACCAAGCAATAGAGTGAGACGGTCTTTCATGGGTTTATGCCCAGGTAAAGAGGCTTCATCCTTGGTGATGAATGTTCTTTTGGGCATCTTTTTCCAGAACAGCCCAGTTTCGTCAACATTGAAAACTTGCTGTGGAAGATAATTTTCTTCTTCCATCAGTTTTTTAAATTCAATTAAAAACTTTGCTGCCCCTTCTTTATCAGCACTAGCAGCTTCACCATGCCTAACAACACTTAAAATGTCACTTCTTTTCTTAAATTTTTCGAACCAGCCTTTGCTAGCCCGAAAATCTTCAAATTCTGTTCCTGAAGAACTAGGTTGATCTGTCTTTAAATGTTCATAAATCTCCCTGGCTCTTTCACAAATGAAATCACCAGAAACTGAATCACCTTTCATCTGTTTTTCCCTAATCCAGATGATAAGTAACCTCTCAGTTTCTACGATTAGGGATCTACTTTTAAACACTCTTGTAGATTTGTCTCTCACGTTCACTTCCTTAAATTTGTCTTTTTGTGCAAGAATTGTCGACACAGTTGATGCCGACATGCCATATTCTTTGCATAGCGCATTTGATTTAATACCTTGTTCGTGTTTTTTTATTATTTCCTGCTTCATTTGGATTGAAATCACTTTTCTTGATCTCTTAGGCCCCATGCTGGATTCAAACAATGGCAACACGTATTTTTCAAAGTTAAACTAGCTGTAAATAAAGAATATTTTCTTTAAAATAACACTGCACTGCACTATATATTGTCAATATGTAAAATAATTTTCAAAATGACCAATAATTTGCTTGGAAACACAGAAAAAAAGCGTTTAGTTGAAGAGAGTCTCAAGCAAGATGTTACCTCCAGTGAAAACAGAGAGAGACTGACGCCTGTTTGCTGTGTTAAGAGGCTGGATGCCGCGCATTAAACTAGTCACTTTACCTTCAATTATGTTCAATAATTGTTAAAATGACTAAAAAAGTTAATATTAAACTTTTAAAATAATTGAATAGTATAAACTTCTTGATATTTACAAAAATAGTAAGGAATTTAAGCCCTAGAACCGATTAATGTATTGGCGGACTGATACTAAAGCTGGTTGCCCGGTCAGTGCAAGCGAAAACATGTTGAGGTCGGTTCGTAAGAAGTTCGTTAAGCGAAATTTTTTTCGTTAAACGAATTGAAGATCCTTATGGAAGGCAGTTCGTTAATCGAAATTACGTTAACCGAGGTGTTCGTTAAACGAGGGGTCACTGTATCTAAAAAGCAATGCAGTGTACAAGCAAAAATAAAAGGTGATTCAGAAGCCTTCACTAATACAAACACAGGCAACTATTTCCTAGTTTTAGGCCAATTTTTTTTTTTATTTATAACTAAAATACTTTCACAGCACCATTACCCTAACTATACCCCCCCCCCCCATTCTCCACAGGAAATAACATAGTACAGTGACCCCTCGTTTAACCAACACCTCGGCTAACGAAATTTCGGTTAACGAACTGCCTTCCATAAGGATCTTCAATTCGGTTAACGAACAAAAATTCAGTTAACGAATTTCTTACGAACCGACCTCAACATGTTTTTGCCTGCACTGGCCGGGCAACCAGCTTTAGTATCAGTCCACCAATACATTAATCGGTTCTAGGGCTTAAATTCCTTACTATTTTAGTAAATATCAAGAAGTTTATACTACATGTATTCAATAATTTTAAAAGTTTAATATTCAATTTTTTAGTCATTTTAACAATTATTGAACATAATTGAAGGTAAAGTGACTAGTTTAATGCGCGGCATCCAGCCTCTTAACACAGCAAACAGGCGTTAGTCTCTCTCTGTTTTCACTGGAGGTAACATCTTGCTTGAGACTCTCTTCAACTAAACGCTTTTTTCTGTGTTTCCAAAATTATTGGTCATTTTGAAATATTTTACATATTGACAATATATAATGCAGTGCAGTGTTGATTTAAAGAAAATAATCTTGAATTACACCAAGAGAGCTAAAATTTTATGGGTGAAATGGCACCATGGGGTGACTTCTCTTCCACCCCAATGCCTTCTCTTCTTCCTTCTCCTCTACCCCCATTCTAAATCCCATCATCATCATCATCATCATCATCATCATCCAGGAGCCTTCTACATACACACCTCAAAGTAAGTGAACTTTTCTACCATTTTTGTTGAATTTAGGAAATTTTCGGTGAGCTGGAACCAATTACCCAAAAACCCATTGAAACAATGGTTTCGGTTAACGAACTTTTCGGTTAACGAACAACCTTCTGGAACGGATTGAGTTCGTTAACCGAGGGGTCACTGTACTGTACATTCTTTCCTTCCACCACATCAAAGCTTACCCAGACATAAATCAATATACTGTACCACATGTTTTTCAGGCAGGTACTAAACCAAGCCAACAGAATGAAAATCAGGATGATCAGAAGTCTGCTTTATCCGAGGTAAGGGCTGGCTTAAATCAGCTATGGCTGTACATCCGCAGCCCGGGTATGCGTGCCATCTTACTTGCCACATCTCTCCTGTGGTTCATTCACTGCGGTTTCTACTTGGGTATTACCATTAATGCTAACAATTTTACCAGGTAATGTTTATTTTAATTTTATATTAGTAGTTGAGTGATTAGTGATAACCATAATATCAATCAATCAAAGTGCCATGGTTCTCTCTAAACGTTTTCAGGCTGTCTTTACTAATACTCCCAGATATTGCATCTTTCTCAAAGCCACAACTTTTAATTTCATTCATTCATCCCAGTTTCTGCCTTCTCCTATTCTTAATTTTGTCCAATAGTACTTCTACATTTACCTCAATTACCCTTGATCAAAGTACTATACACTTACCTTATTTTCTTTAATCTATAACTCTCAAGTTTTTCTCAATGTTTTTGTCAACTTAGTTCTGTACTTCATTTGTTTTCCCATTACACCAGTGTTACTTTTTTTAGAATTCTCCTGTAGCACTACATTTCAAAGGCCTCTAATATCCTCATTGTGACTACTGAAAGGGTACACACCTCTGAACTATACAATATTGTAGTACTGAAATGACCATACATAACATTTGACCAAGCTTTTTTTTTTTCAAATTTAAATTAGTGTCCTTTTGTTGCAGGTTACATACATTATTGGCTTTTTTTGGTTGCCTGAAAAATATTCACCTAATATTTATTCCCCTTTTTCCCTCCTCCAGTACGAACCCTTTCCTGTATGTTGCGCTCACGGGTGTCATGGACGCATCTGCTATTCTCACAATTACACCTCTCACGACCCGACTGGGCAGACGCATCATTGTCGGGATGGGTCTGTTTGTGGGCGGCATTTTAATTTTGCTGGACCTGCTTGTCCCAGTATGTAAGTTGTCATTTTTGTTGAATCACTTTATCTTAAATTAATAGTTACAGTAACACTTGTTGATTTTATTTATATTTTATTACTGGAAAGTTCTTAATTTTTTGCTGGTTATTTGATGCTGACGACTAAACTGTAGTAGAGAACAAACATTACCTATTTTCTTATATATTCTCTGAACAGATACTGTATTAGTAAAGCTAAATTATGTGCTTAACTCCTTCACTACACTACATGGATGCCACTTTTAGTACTGTATGTTATTTTGTTAATGCCAGACGATTTTATTCAGCACAGAGGAGATCCCATACACAAGGGGTTAAATAATCAACCATACACACACACTGTGTTCATAGAGTGGCTGTTAAGATATAATTTTCAATATTCCAGACTATTCTTGGCTCAAGTGGGTGCTGGTGATGGGAGGATTCTTATTGGTGGCTGGATCATTCCAAGTAAGTTCTTGCTTTACGATCTCCATAAATTTTGATAATGATGAATCTTTCCACTCTCTCCTCCCACAACTAGTTGTGCTTTAATTGTAACAATGGTGCAAGCAGCTTCAAAAGTTAGTTGGATTTTCTCTACTTTGACCATTGAAAGCTCTTAAATTTGATGTCATAGTTTTTATCATATGGTGAAAGAGTTACTAAAAAGTTCACATCTCTTAACAATGATTTTTCACTCATATCGAACGTTAAGTCTTTAATAATGACCTAAATGTACAGTATTCTGAAATACCTGTACAGTAATTCCCAGAGAAAGAATAATGGAATTATAAACAATAATACAACATTATCACACATATCAGATGAATAGCCATCAATGCAATTTATCTTATCTTGCAGGTAAATTTCGTATATGCACCAGAACTGTTTCCAACAGAAACTCGGACACGAGGCTTTGCTTTTGTCAACATGATAGGCAGCCTTGGGTTCATATGTGCCCCCCTTGTCACAGACATATTGGTAAGTCACTTACAGTATACAGTATAGTACAGAACAGTATCTCGATTTGTAATGTCATATAAGGTATTGTACTAATTCAATCTTCTGTTAATGAGAATGGAGTAAGATTATGAGATTAAACCTCTTAATTAGATCTATGAAATTATCAAGGGAGCTTCAAAGTTATCGCAAATTTATTTTATAAATCATAATGTGGCAATTGAGGCCATGCAAGAACCTAGTAGGATAGTGAAGCCATCAGGGGACATGAAGACACACAAGTGTTTCATAGGTATACGTAAGTGCTTGGTGTATGGAGTAAATCACAGTAGTTTCATGAGAAAGTGAAGATAATTATTTATTGGCTATTTTTCTGTTTACAGGGTCAGCACACTTGGTGGGGATCGAGTGTGGTCTTTGGATGTTCTGGCATTCTTGGGAGTCTTATGCTAATATTTCTCCCAGAGACAAACCATCAACCCCTCCCTGAAACACTGCAAGATGTAGAAGACAGAAGAAGAGCAGCTAAAAATAAATCTAAAAAGTCTGGTGTGGAAAACGAAGCTTATCAAAATAGTGAATAAAATAGAGTATGAAACTAGAATACTGTATACATACTGTTTTTGTTAAATTATATAGAAACAATATATTTTATTCAAATGCAATTCATGTGTAAAGTTAAAACGGATGACTGGAAAGTAATGACAAACGGCCCTAGAGTTTTAAAAGCAACTTATTTCCAGAATCATCACATTTATATTTTGGTTATGTAATACTGTGCCAACTCTGTACTACCTGTCCATACAATCACCATCCATTAATTCAATAATTTCTTCTTTAACTTCACTTTCAATCCCAGCACGTGTAGATAAATGGACCAATGAGAGACCAGGAATGTATGGGACATGGGTGATAAGTTTCCAGCCAAACCTTCCCACATCTGACATGTTGAATAGTGAGGTCATGTGTGTGTCTTTGGCATTCAGGGCACAAGTTCCTCACAGTATTGAAGTAAGACACTTGTGGTTGAAAACTCACTTTAAAACTACTGGCTGTGTTATAACTTTCCAATCACCCTTCATAAAATAGGCAGATATTTAGTAGTGTACTGAGTTATGGTGCTGAGAGAGGCAGATATTTAGTACGTACTAAGTTATGGTGTTGAGAGAGGTAGATATTCAGTACATACTAAGTTATGGTACTGAGAGAGGTAGATATTCAGTACATACTAAGTTATGGTGCTGAGAGAGGGAGATATTTAGTACGTACTAAGTTATGGGGCTGAGAGAGGTAGATATTCAGTACATACTAAGTTACGGGGCTGAGAGAGGCAGATATTTAGTACGTACTAAGTTATGGTACTGAGGTAGATATTCAGTACAGTACTAAGTTATGGTGCTGAGAGAGGCAGACACAAAAGGTGAATATTATACAGCCTGACACCCTACATAGTGTAAGTTATAGTGTATATATGTTCGGAAACCTTTATCAATACATTATACATTTTCCTTATACAGCACTGTCTGTGCATTCACTCATCATACATCTCCCGTATTATTTTTCTCGTCTTGTGTGTTTTCATGTTCATAGCTAATTGTATTTTTGTTTTCATCAATCGTCTCTTAGCTTTCTTTTCATCAATTGCGGATTTAACTCTCCTTAGTGTTTACAGTTTGTGATTTATATGTTAATTATTGATGAATATTGTATTGTTAACCCTTCGAGAACGCATCTTTTGATGTTTCACTTGGCAAAGGTCAGATGATTTTATTCAGCTTAGAGAGGACCCCAAACACAAGGAGTTAGACAACTGTGTCTTCCATACCGTTACCTTGGTCAACAACGACGTGCTTTTTGCCTTTCAAGAGTGACCGAGACGAACAAAGTCAGAATGACATATTTAAAGACAAACATTGTTGAAGATAATAATGACGATGTATATATTAAAAAGAACTGAGGAATTTTATTTTTTATTCATCTTTCTTACCCGTAGAACACTAACTCTCAAATGAGTCCCAGTGCACTATGACCCGGATGACAAGAACAAACAAAAACTAGCACTGGTTAAAAGAAAATCTAATTACGTACACTACTGCATAAAAAAATTCTAGTGATTCTTATACAGTAGTTCCTCAGAATTTTACAATTTGAGTAAGTTGTGTTAATTAAAAAGCTTGAATTAATTTAATACCGGTACATACAGAATATTTTAAACGTGAAATACGTTGTGCCCGTAAGTTTTAAATCACCCTTATATAATTTTATCAATAATACTGCAGCCTCCAGATTGTCATGACATGTGACGTTGAAAGTAAATACATGGTGAATGCCATTACCTACCTGGCAAAGTCAAGCATACCAAGACCAATGTTACTACAGAATTCTAGAATATTCTGAATACCCTGTACAGTATATTAAATTATTTCAAAGCTCATTAACTTATACTAATTACTCAAATTTTAATATTCTGAACCCAGATCCTTAACCAGCATGTAAAAGAACACCTTTGTATGAATTTAGAGCATAATCCATGTTTTGACCTCATATGTCATTATTTTCACAATAAAATGCCTTTTCTCTGGAAAAGGAAAACTAACGTTAGTTTTCAGTTTCCAGAGAAAAGGCATTTGCTATGTACATTCTAAATGAACATCTTCCGCGAAATGTCAACGACTGCTCATCCACCATTACATTCTTTCCTGGCACATAATTGTCCTTGCAATGCTCCATGAACTTGTCCCACACAGCCCACACTAGATCAAACCTGTCTGTTTTCACCCTCTCCACCCGTGTATTTGGATCATCAAATCGGAGGCATCGTGTTAAAAACTTAGAAATGACACTGTTCTTTTGGCACTTAGTTTGCTAAGTTATTTGGCACCTCTGGGCCCATGATTGGCCAATTTTGCACTTCTAAATAACACGAATCTTCCTTCTTTCATTTTGAAAGACATGCTAAATATATATTTTTTAGTTGCTGCAGTGTAGAAGCAACAATTAAAATTTATTACTTGGTTGGCTACACTAAACTATCACTACAGTACAACCGTTCAACAAATATATTTAATTTTCTTTTGCAATGCAGAATACCAAGTGTCTATTTTCGTTTTATTATCTACTATGTTTGTCTACAGTCTATTTTAAATATTTTGTAATTTTTAAAAAATTGTATTGATTAAAAATAAAATAATTGTAATTGGATATATTTTGTCATACTGTACCTTTAAATTTTTTAGCGATCTGGAAACCTTTGTTTTTTCATGAGTGGCATCACCAATAGCGACCTGCCGTCCAGTAAGGGTTGGGTAGACTTTGCACCTTCCACCTTGAGTGCATCATGAACATTTGTCCGGGACTGTACTTCTGGTCCGATCCTGACTCAGGTGAGTTCTTGTCTTAATGAAACACCTGGCCTGAAAGAAAGTTACAAGTAAGGTGTCAATTTAACTTATCACATTTTATGATTTTTAACTTTATTTTACTGTAGTGTTCATAATCTTACACACAAAACAATGAAAAAAAAAATCATATAACACATCTTGATCTCAAGTAGTTCACCAGGGTGTTGAAATCATCTATGTTAAGAATTTTAGTTTATCTAATGGTTGTTCTTAATATACACTGCTAAAAATATCTATTAAATGTTTAGTTCTTTAAGGTTATAGCATATGGGAGTACTGAAGGCTTTTAAATGATGGCCTTCTTGTTAAATCACAGTACAGTACTGTGCACTACCAGGTAAATCTAAAGTTACGGGAATACAGTAGTAACGAACAACTATAGACCGGTGAGCCTGACCAGCATAATATGTAAACTACTTGAGAGTATTATCAGAGATGCCGCAATGGAACATCTAATACGAAACAACCTTGTAAAAGATTGCCAACACGGTTTTATGCCGGGGCGCTCTTGCTTAACACAATTGCTCAAGGTATTGGATATTTGGACCCATATTCTGGAACGGGGTGGTAATATCGACAATATTTACCTAGATTTTGCCAAGGCTTTCGACAGTGTGCCTCACGAAAGGCTGAAAATCAAACTGGAAGGGTACGGAATTCGGGGAAATGTCCTAGTGTGGATAGAAGACTTTCTACATGACCGCAAGCAGTGTGTGGTGATTAATGGCACGAAATCGTCATCTGTACCTGTAACAAGTGGGGTACCACAGGGCAGTGTATTGGGCCAGCTGTTGTTTGTTTGTTTCATAAATGACATGCCTGACATTGTACACTCCTCCATACAAATGTTTGCCGATGACGCCGTTATTTCGGGAAATTAAGAACCAAGCGGACTGTGAAGAGCTGCAGTAGGACCTCTGTGGGCTCCAGGAATGGTCGAAGAAATGGCTGCTGAGATTCAATGTCACGAAGTGTAAGAGGATGCACCTGGGGCGTACCAACAGTAAGGAGGCGTATCATATGTCCCAACGGGATGAAGAAACTGCACTAGTTAAGACTGTGTGAGAAGGACCTAGGTGTGTATGTTGACAATGAGCTGAAGTTCTCGGGCCATTGTGAGAAGAAGGTAAATCAGGCAAATAAATTATTGGGTCTTACAAGAAGGTCGTTCAGATATCTAGACGGTCCGTCCCTCGTAACGATCTTCAGGAGTGAAGTGCTTCCCCAACTGGAGTACTGTCACCCCATCTGGTCCCCGAGATATGCTAGGGACTGTCAGTTGGTTGAAAATGTTCAAAGGAGGGCCACCAAACTGGTGCCTGCACTTCGGCACCTCAGCTACCCTGAGAGATTGGAGCGCCTGAACTTGCCTAGCTTATAATACAGACGGGCAAGGGGGGACCTAGTTGAGGTGTATAAGCATCTCAGGGGGCACTACTCAGTTGAGTGTCCTCACTTGGAGCTGGCGGACGCTCGCCCCACAAGGGGTCACAGCTCAAGATTGAAGAAGCCGCAAGTCCAGAAAACCGTGAGGGCAAACTTTTTCGGAGTGAGGGTTGTAAACTCTTGGAACAATCTACCAGAGAGTGTTGTGACAGCACCGAGTGTGAGCTCTTTGGTGAAGAAGATAAATGAAAAGAGACGTGACAGATCGCCCAAGCGGCTAACAAGCCGATCAGTGGCGAAGAGGATAAAAGTAAAAAGTAAAAAGTAATAAAATGTACAGTATCTTCCAATGGATTCTACAGCATGAAAAAATTAATTGGCAATCATTTCAATGTTGCAAGTTAATTAAGGAGCAGGTGCAGGTGAATTTGAGTTTTATCAAATACAATATATTAGAGAAGGTTGTGTTGCTATTTTACTTTATCCTCTTCAACCAACACCTCAGTAACTTGAAGACATGCACACACACACAATGTCACAACATAGATACTGTAGCTAGGCAGGTTCATATTTCTGAACTTAAGATCATAAACACTCATCTATATTTAAAGGAAAAATGTTTAATAATTAAGAATTACAATATCTGCTTGTACAAACTTGCTTATTTCTCTGTAATAAATTTCTTTCTCTTAGCTATCACACTGACACAACTGCCAACAATCGTCGTCCAGATGTGTACAGAATTGAGAGGACGTGCTCGTGTTGAAAATGCGGCAGAGAACTTAATAGTGAACAAAAATTATTTGTTTCAGTGACAAATGCTCATACTCTTACAGCAAGAGAAGATATAAAATTACACAATGCCACTTCAAGAAAAGTGCTTTCACTGGTACCTGATATTAAAGCAAGTTCTTTCTGCTTTATATGTCAGGGGTCTGGGAAGTTTGTTAAGGTTAGGTAGGTTTGGTTGGGTCATGTTGGTTAGGTCAGGTTCTGTTAGGTTTTATGCATTACTTCCATTTTCTTAATTAGTATCATGCAAATAACAACTTGAGAAATTTTGGTGGAATTCCATTATTAATTTCTGGTCCTATCCGTCTCCTCCACCATTACTTATATTTTTTAACATCACTTTACTTACAGTATAGTATTTACATTATTTGTTATGAATGGGATACTAATGTTGTTTTAACCTCAGGTAACCTTTGGAATTAACACTGATCTGACTTACAAACAGGGTTCAAGAACATAATCCATTCATAACTCTGGGACTGCCTGCAATATAATGTATTGTTAATTAGTTTTTTATCCTTAACTTTAGAGCTGTGGTTGGTCAAAACTACAAATTGACCGACCTATGAAAAAAATATCTACCAGGTGAAGCCCTAGACAAGGCTATCCAGAACAATGGAAGGATCCTACACACACCACTAGTCTCCTTCCCTCACTATAGCCACCTCTAGGGGTCCGACTAATTACCCAAATGTACCCAAATATAGCCGGAATGAAGACAAATAATGGTCCTAGATGAATAAATCGGACTGCCAATCACTTCTCGACTAGTATTTGGTGTCAGAAAGTCACAAAAAATTGGAAAACTTACTTTAATCTGAGTTAATAGATCACGTGCATGTACCGACGGAGCGAGGAATTACCCAAATGTACCCAAATGTAGTAGTCGCAATGAAGTCAAATAATGGTCCTAGATGAATAAATCGGACTGCCAATCACTTCTCGACTAGTATTTGGTGTCACGAAGTCACAAAAAATTGGTAAACTTAATTTAATCTGAGTTAATAGATCAAGTGCATGTACCTAACCTAATCTAATCTAACCTAACCTCGACTAGTATTTGGTGTCACGAAGTCACAAAAAATTGGTAAACTTAATTTAGTCTGAGTTAATAGATCAAGTGCATGTACCTAATCTAATCTAATCTAATCTAATCTAATCTAATCTAATCTAATCTAATCTAACCTAACCTAACACAACTCATTAAATTAAGTTTACCAATTCTTTTTTTACTTTATGACACCAAATAATAATCGAGAAGTGATTCACAGCCCGAATTACGCTTGTACGACCATCATTTGACTTCATTGCAGCTACATTTGGCTACATTTGGGTAATTCCTCGCTCCGTCGGTACATGCACGCGATCTATTAACACAGATTAAAGTAAGTTTTCCAATTTTTTGTGACTTTCTGACACCAAATACTAGTCGAGAAGTGATTAACAGTCCGATTTATTCATGTAGGACCATTATTTGACTTCATTGCGACTATATTTGGCTACATTTGGGTAATTAGTCGGACCGACCTCTAGTACAGGACTCTGGTGCATAGTTCATGATTAATCAACAACTATAACGAAATTTCTATACAACATACACAGTGGATATTTTGCAATGACCGGCTAAGTTTCTACTAATGCTATTTTACCGTGAGTGCACTCTGATTGGATAAGTACTTTCTGTTTAATATGAAGGGGGTCTGCCCCCTGGCTAGGAAGTTGGGTAAGGTTAGGTAGGTTTCTTTGGTTGGTTAGGTCAGGTTCTATTAGGTTCTAGTAAATGTCGCCTCTTTTATAATGATAAATTTCCATACCCAACAGAAATATGGTTAGGTATGTTTACAGCTACACAGCAATCATCTCAAGGCAAAATAAATGCCAAATGCCATCAGTCATGGTCAACTATAGATCTCGCGCTGTTCGCTGGTAATGGACGATGAGCCAATCATAGCGCACTCACGGTAAAATAGCATGAGTAGGAACTTAGCCAATCACGGAAAAATATCTACTACCTAAAACATAACTTCTTTCGTACCTTATTTTAGGTTATATTAGCATTAGGTTGTTTGTCATCAAGTGAAATAAGCTGTTCGGGTCTAACCTTCAAGCCGCCTCTTGTCTAAAGGTTGAACATGAGTTGACCCCTTACCTAGTCATTGTGTACCCCGACCTTGTTATGTCCCGCTACCTAAAAAGTAACGATGGTACAATAGACGATACCTAGAAATCAAAATAGGCGACAGACACAACGACTTGGTAAGACAGGAGGTGACTATGTACAAGATCGTCCTGCAGGGAACTCAATAAGGCTAATATACAGGACTGTCATAACACACACGGACGAGCAAGAGGATACAGAGACATACATGATCAAATGAGGCTAACAAAATCCCCAATTAAAAATGTCCACATATAATCTAACCTTAATAAGCTGGAGTCAGTCCAAACTTCACTTTTCAAATGGTACGAACATTTGCCTCCGAATCAGTGTTACCAAACCGCGGTAGATAGCCCTCAAAAGGCGCCGCAACCTTAAATATAGCCCAAATATTATGACTTAAAGCCTGCCGTTGCACTCTCCTATAACAGTTAATACAAAATATTATCGCCACTATTATGAATTTAAATTTAATTTAGTGAATTATTGACATAGTGCGTTAAAAAACGACGTAATACAAAGAATGAACACTGAATTCTCTTCCCATATGATAAAGTGAACACTATTTTTTTTATAAAATTATCGAAGGAAATGCAATTACATTTTTACCAGTTTGCCGGATGAAAACACCACATAAAATAAATCAGTTTTTTTTTTTACCAATTTGTTGAAAATAGTATTTTTTTCTTTATCAGACACATGCATTAAATAGTCAAAAAATGATAAAAGTAAGAATAGAAACATATCCCCTTTTAATCAGACACTCCATACAAATGTTTGTGGATGACGCCAAGTTATTTCGGGAAATCAAGAACCAAGCGGACTGTGAAGAGCTGCAGAAATTATCTCTGTGAGCTCCAAGAATGGTCGAAGAAATGACTGCTGAGATTCAGGATGCACCTGGGGCGTACCAACGGTAAGGAGGCGTATCATATGTCCCAACTGGGTGAAGAAACTGCACTATATGAGACTGAATGTGAAAAGGACCTAGGTGTGTATGTTGACAATGAGCTGAAGATCTCGGGCCATTGCGAGAAGAAGGTAAATCAGGCAAATAAATTATTAGGTCTTAAAATTGCTTCCCCCCTTTTTGTCAAGACCAGACGTGACCAACACTGGAGCAGGTTCAGGAACATTCAGGAGCCGGTGCATGCCCAGTACTTGCCAACAGTGCTTAACATAGACGTGACCGATCGTCCAAGCGGCTAACGAGCCGATCGGTGGTGAAGAGAATAAAAGTAAAAAGTAATGAAGTCTGACAGATTGACTGTCCGTCAACTTCTGGGGCTTTGCTTGGTACCTGTCTGACAGCCATTAAGTCCCCCCCCCCCAGTGAGAGCGTGGGATAGGAAATTACTATACTGTAGATCTTATTTCATTCTAAAATTAAAATTACTCAATGATTGTAAATCAGTAAATGAACAGATAAATGAGCAGTCATGTGCTTTCCTTTATTACCAATAATCCTGAAAAAAAATTAAATGTTCATTCATAAAGACTGCTGGAAAAACAGCTGCCGCGGTTTTCTTTTTCAAAAGTAGCCCAATTGGGCGGGTAAACCATGGGTTTGGCACCACTGATTCTGATACGTAAATATTATAAGAGAAGAGAAACTTTTGGTGTTATTCTGGCAGCGAGTGTTGGCAATGACAGCAACTGAGATTATAACCAACAGATGGTAGTTTATTTGTTTTTATTATGAATATATTCGACAATTTATTATTATATACCAATGTTATTATCTACCGCATGCTCAAAAGGAAAATTACAAAAGATATTATTAATAATAATGATTAAATAATAATAGTAATAATGATGTAATAATAATAATAATAATAATAATAATAATAATAATGACTATGTTTCAGAGACAATTATATAATAAAAATAAACATAGAAGGAAACATATTAATGATAGTTACAAAAGTAATCATACATGAGGCGCCCAGGTATCCCATCTTCCTCAGGGTTACAACTCTTACGTAATACCAAGAGATTCACAGCAATAACCTGGACTTGTGATTTTTGAAGTGTAAATTATTATGGGCTTGTGCATTATTTAGTACAATGATTTGCATGTTGTTAGAGATCTCAAGCTTTTGTATTTTCTTTTATCATTTCACCATTTATCTTACGAAACGTTTGGGTAGGTGGTCTGTTCATTGTTACTTTTTTTATGATCTTTATTGTCAAGTTTTAGTAAAAGTGTTTGGTAGTCACACTGAATGATAAATCGCCTTCTCACATTTGTCCCGGGTCAGGGATTGAACACAGGAGATACTCGTGAGAGATACGTCTGTACCGCTGTACTACTAATACACCAGGTGTATATTTTTGCCTTGCCCTTAGCTTATTTCACCTTTTGATTAAACACCATAACACCACCTGGGAGAGTTAGTCAGGTTAGGTTAGATAGGCTTGGTTAGGTTAGGTTGGTTAATATCAAGGTGAAATAAGTTGAGGGAACTAATTATTCAGGTGATCCAGTGTAATATGGTAACATACACCAAGGCTTCACACTTTCATCACAACTCTTCACTAACCGACGACACGATATCTTTCCAAACTCAGGTACCAACTTACCCTCATATATATTACAGCAACTAATACCTAAGGGTCTCCATGTTGCCTGCGTTATTCTTTTTCCTCGAGGAAGTAGCAAAAGTAGAGTCTCGGTATAGTTTCAGCGTCATTCTGGCCGCCATCTGTGGGTTTACCTTCATACTCGAGTGAGTCAGTAAAGAGATATTCTCAAGTCACCAGTTTAGGGAGAAAGTATCACCCAGCACCAACACCAGTGGGAGTCGTTCTATGATGCGACTGTCTCTCTTAGATTGCACTTATACAAACATTAATAAAATATAAACTTAATGGCTGCTAATTTGAATACATATAACCCATGACCGACCGCTCCAGATATTTTTGGCGCGCGCGTACGATCAATCTTACCCGCCCGATGAATTATGTTATTCGTATATAGTATTATCTACATTATCAGGGGCTATCCAAGTAAATATTGCATTCCATTTCAATCACGGTTCATATTTAAGTAAAAACTGGTATCACTTTCCATACCATCCAACTAATTATATGTATTATGCAGTGCAAATATGCAGACACGGCAGTTATATTTGCTAATTACTGTTAATGTTATTGTAATCTGAATAATGATGTAAAAACGTCATCACTTTAGTACACAGAGTGAGGATTTTCTTTTTATTTATCATTAGGATCCCTTAAGAGATAATGGCGGAAGGATGAGGCTGTTGAGTTTTAGTTTTGTTTTTTACTCTTGTCAACTACTCGACGCCAACAACGTAAATACAGTACCGCCATACTGGTGGTCAACGAGGAATACAGCACTCACAAGTCACAACCTCCTCACGTCCAAACATCACAACCTTCTCAACTTACCTCATTTTTTACCACAATTTAACTCATTTTACCTATATTTTCCTAATTGTCCTCATTTTTATCCCATTCTACCTCATTTTACCCCATTTTCGTGATTTTTACATCTGGTTTTCCTCATTTTCTACGTGAAGATTACCCACCCTCACGCTAACCGAACCTTACTCAACCCTTAAGGTATCGTTAATCCTAAGGTGAAATAAGCTAGAGGGTTAATCAGGTTAGGTTAAATATATACTGTTTATATAAAGTTTAAAATATATCAGAATTAGTAAGACTTTTCTAGTCCATGTTATGTGTAATCTTGTTTGCTGTTTGCACCAATCGCCTTACTGTTTACCATTGTTTGTACACCTCCACTGTATGTATATCCACACTGCCTGTATTCGTTTTTTTTTGGTATACCTACACGGTCTATGTATATTCTATACCTGCATTGCTTATATACATGCTTAATCAATGTAAACATGTATGGCGATTTTACTGAATATCTATCTGTCTATTTATCTATCTATCTATCTCACTCATCACGGTAACTTAACACACGGAGTCATTAAGATATTCAACCAATTAATGTTTTTAATTTTCAAACACAATTACGAGAGATTTATAATTAATATTTGATTAGTTGACGGCCATAATTAATTTACCTCTAGTTTACCTTTAATATTTAATTACTATGTTTCATTAGACAAAAGAATATTGGCTATTGTCAATATTCTCTGTACACACACACAGACACACACACACACACACCTGAGGCGTGAACGGGCCGGGGGTGCAGTGAAGCGCCTGTAATATAAGCGGGCCGAGAGGGAGAAAAATTCTTTCAGTGGGTCAGTCAGTCAAGTTAAGCGTTCATACATCTGATTAACACAGGTAGGAATTTTTGTACGGTCACAAAACTATAATAAAATATGATGCATTTTCTTGTTCTAATATGTATTGATTGAAAATTTTCTTCATAAAATTTTTGGTGTATGTATGAATCACTTTTTTCCGTGTATATTGTTAACTTCTTGTCGCTCATCACATCTTCCCCGCGCCGCGTGTCGACCTGCTGCCAGGCGTAGCGTGTAAACTTTGCATATTGAAGTGTGGTTGTGAAGGGAGGAGGCGGTGGTGCTGGCCCACAATGGCGGGTGTCAGGACGATCATGTGCCGCGGCTTGAAGTGGAAAACTTTCATCTGATGCTCTTGTCCCTTGTGCATGCATTATGAATGAACGAGGCACGCGTCACGCTTTTTGTCCCGCGGTTTCGATGTAATCTTTTCAGTTTTCTGCAATATTTATACATTATTTTTTGTTGATAGGATTATTGACGCATTACTATTTACTTATACTTAAACTGTTTGATGTTTAGAGATATTTGGAGAACATAACGTCTTAGGGGGGCGACCAAGTCAAGGCCACTATAACTCCCCCGAACACATCCCTTTCCGCTGCTGTCCAAATTGATCCTAACGTAAAGCTACAAGCTGATTGGCGATGCTGCGGATCACCAAGTGTGACCTGATCCAATTAGGACCAATCAAAGCTGGCGATATAAGCCGGACGGATGAGTGGCCCGTCAAACAACCAATCAGTAATTGTTGATGATTGATTGACGTGTGCGACAGTTACTCATACCGTCCCTTCATCACTCTCCCTCCCTCTCTCCACCACTCTCCCTCATTTCCTCCCCCACTCACCATCACTCCCTCCACCACTAACCCAGCAGCTTCGTGGTTTAGTCATCAATATACATCAGTGTAGTTAGCTAGACAACCCTCACAACCGCACTCAACCATGGTTAGGTTAGGTTAAGTTAAGGTTAGGTCAGTTTATGTTAGGTTAAGATCACGTTAGCTTGTTAGGTTAAGATTACGGTAAGGTAACGTCGCCACCTATCCCCAGGTATCGCTAGGTTGTTAAATCATCAGGTGAAATTAGT